TGCCTTAAAACATACAAAGAAAAAAAAAACATAAAAAGCTTACAAACTTACAAGGAGAAATAGACTATGTACAGTCATAATGAGAGATTTTAATACACTTTTCTCAGTAACCCAAAATAAGCAGATAAAGAGTCAAGTAAAGAGAGAGATATAAAATCTAGTATTGACAAACTCGATCCAATGGACAGATAGACACTAGAGAATCTAACAAGAGTAGAATAATATACTTGAATACACAGAGAATAGTTTGGAAAAATTTGACCAGTCCTACATCATTAATCAAGTGTCCACGTATTTTAAAAGAATAGAGGTAAGCTGGGAATCACTAACCAAAAGATTTTTTTAAGCCATATTTTGGAAATAAATGACTGTACTTTTAAGTAACATGTAGCTTTTTAAAAAGTGTAAATTACAGAGTGCCTGGGTGGCTCAGTGGGTTAAACCCCTGCCTTCATTCAGCTCAAGTCATGATCTCAGGGTCCTGAGATCAAGCCCCACATCGGGCTCTCTGCTCAGTGGTGAGCCTGCTTCCCCCTCTCTCTCTGCCTGCCTCTCTGCCTACTTGTGGTCTCTGTCTGTCAAATAAATAAATAAAATCTTTAGATATATATATATATATATATATATATATATATATATATATAAAATATATATATATAAAATATATATATATAATCTCTGTATTTCATTTATATATATATATATAAATGAAATACAGAGATTCCTCAAAACATACTATATGTAAAAACTGATGGAAGAAGAGAACATTTAAATAATCCTTCAACTATTTAAAACAAATCAAACCTATAATTTAAAACTTTTCAATACAGAAAACTCCAGGCCCCGAGGGATTCTAAGAAATGTTCACAGAAGAAATGAAGGTAATCTTTCCCAAACTCACTCAGAACACAGGAAAAACAGCTTCCATTTGCCAACTCCTGTTAAGAGGTCCAGAATAACTCTGATATAAAAACTGGCAGAAAATTTCAAGAAAAGAAAATTTCAGGCTGGTCTGACTTATGAATAACAGACACCGATACCCTGAAAATAAGATTAGCAAACTTCCTCATTAACATAAAGATGGAATGTTAAAGATCAGCTTGATATCAGCTTGAAAGCTAGAGCCACTTTACCCACTGTTTTTTCCCCAAACCTCAGGAGAAATGCCATTTTTCCCAGTTTTCAGTAAGTTTGTAAAAAAAAAAAAAAAAAGCCCACCATATTTAGCCATATATAAAAAGGCCAATACATGTGGACATATTCCAGAATGCAACTTTGGGTTAAGATTTAAAAATCAATGCAATTCACCACATTCAGAGACTGAGGGGGAATACTATTTCAGTTGATTTCAATAAAAGATGTTGATCAAATTAATCACAAAAAGTCCTAACAAACTAGGACTAGAAAGGAATTTTCATAAGCTGAAAAATGATATCCTTTCCCAAAAAAACCTCAGCAAATATCAGTATTACTGTTGAAATATTGAAAGCTTTCTCCCTGGAATTGGGACCAAGACATGTTTATTTGCTGCCTAGGGCTCCTATAACAAAGTGCCACAAACTGGACAGCTCAAAATAGAAATTTATTATCTCATGATTCTGGAGGCTACAAGGGTGAAATCAAGGCATTGGCAGGGCTCCATTCTCTCTGAAGGGCTTAGGGGTGGATCCTTCCTTACCTCTTCCCAGCTTCTGGTGGCTGCCAATGATCCTTGGTATCCCTTGGCTTATAGATGTATCCCTCCAATTTCTGTCTCTGCCTTCACATGGTGATTTGCTCTGTGTATGTCTTTATCTCACCTCTTTTTATGAGAACACCAGTCACAGTCATCTTGGAGTAGGGTATACCATGCTCTGGTATGATTTCATCATAACTCATTACATCTGCGAAGAATTTATTTCCAACTACAGTCACATTCACAGACTCTGGGGGTTAAGACTTCAGCAAATCTTGTTGGGGAACACAACTCACAAAACAATGACTCCCCCCACTGTTACCTCCTTTGGTACTGAGGGTCTTAGCCAATGCAATTAGGCAAGAAAAAGAAATGAAAGATATAAAGATGAGAAAGGAAAAAACAAAACTCTCATGGATGATACAGTTGTCTATGCAGAAAATCCTAAATAATTCACAGATAAATGATTCAAATTTGTAAGTTTAACAACGTTGGTCTATTCAAAATCAATGTACGAAATTAATTTTACCACAATAGTAACAAACAAGAGAATAAATGCTTAAAAAGGTGTAATTTACGGGGCACCTGGGTGGCTCAGCGGGTTAAGCCTCTGCCTTCGGCTCAGGTCATGATCCCAGGGTCCTGGGTTCGAGCCTTGCATCGGGCTCTCTGCTCAGCGGGGAGCCTGCTTCCCGCCCCCCTCTCTGCCTGCTTGTGATCTCTCTGTCAAATAAATAAATAAAATCTTGCTTAAAAAGGTGTAATTTACAATAGTACACACATACACAAAACCCACCTAAATACCTTGAAGTCAATCTAGGAACATATGTATAAGACTTTTAGGAAGACAAGGATAAAATCTTATTGAAATTAAAGAAGACCTAAGTGAATGGAGGAATATGTCACGCTCATGAATTGGAATAGTACAAACTTGCTAAGTGTTTTCAAAATGATCTACGGATACAATGCAATCCTCATCAATTACTCAACTTACAGAAACTGACACGCTGATTCACAAGATTATATGGACAAGGAAAGAATCAATAAGAGCCAGAATCTGCTGAGCAAAGTGACTAAATATGAATTACTAAATAGGAAGACTTACTACCAAGCTATTTTCATTAAGACCATGTGGGACTGGCACAAAGTATGATGACCAAGACGTCAGTGGGACAGAAGAGACAGCCCACAAACAGATCCAGGCGTGTAGGGGCCCTTGTTCCACGATAGAAAGGTCATTATGGAGCCATCAGTAAAGAAGAGACTTCCCAATAAATTGTGCTGGGATAAATGGCTATCCCCCTAAAAGTTGAATTTGACCCCTACCTTCTGATATTTACCAAAACAGCTATGTGCAAAAACATAGATGCACTGCACAAGCATACATTTGAGCAAAAGAATATAGTCTGCAAAATTCCATCTCTAGGAAGTTAAAAAACTAAACCACAACGTGAGAAGTCAGGATGATGGTTAATTTGTGGAAAAGAAAATGTTAGTAATTGGGAGTGGGTACAAGAGGACTTTTCAGGGAATTCTTGAATATTCATTTCTTTGGGGGTGTGGTTTTAGCTGTGTTTGCTTTGTGATAATTCATTGATTTACATCCTGTGCATTTTTACTTGTATTAATCTTTCTAATAAAGCGATTTTTAAAAGTACATAGACAGACCCATTCATTCACTGAACAAATATGTACTGAGAAATCACTATATAACAGACATTGTACTAGATCTGGCTCATCAGCAGTCATACAAATGGGTATGTGCCCTGCTCTGGTGGTGCTTACATTCTGGTAACACAGGCAAATAAAAACAATTACAGTAATGAATACAGAAAAATATATACCATCACTTAGTGGGATAAGTGCTTTTATACCCTTGGATTGCTACAAAAGGATGACTCTTTTTTTTTTTCTCATACATATATATGTATATGTAATAGAGAAGACTCTTTCTTTATTGGGAGTGGTAGGTTATAAAGAAAGCCTTTAGATCTTTCAGGGAACTGAATTATCAAAGTAGTTTGGGTGTGTTCTACCCACTCCTCCAAAGTGGCAGTCATGCCTTTTATATATAAGAAATGGTTCTGGGGCGCCTGGGTGGCTCAATCAGTTGGGCAAGTTCCTTTGGCTCACATCATGATCTTGGGGTCCTGGGATGGAGCCCTGCCTGGGGTTCCCTGCTCAGCAAGGAATCTGCTTCTGCCTCTTCTCTGCCCCTCCCCCCACTCATTCTGTCTCTCGCTCTCTCAAATAAATAAAATCTTAAAAAAAAAGGGGAGGAGGTTCCAGTGTAATATTTAGATCTACACTTACATGTAGGAATCCTATCTGCTTACCCAACAAGGAAAATCTTGGCTTGAAGGTCATGGCAGCCACTCAGAAAACCAAGAGAATACTATTATTAATTTGTAGTTAATTTTGGAGCTATGATTCTAAAATTAAAAAGTTTTAAGTCCAAATTTGGAAAGCACTGAATTTTAAAATAACGCTTCCCTGATTATAAAATACTTACATGTTCAATATAGAACAACCTGGGAAATCAGAAAATTACAAAGAAAGCAAAAACCCGTAATTCTATCACGACAGCTACTGTGAATGTTTTGGTACCTTTCTCTCCATTTTAAAAAAGGCTTTATATATACTTCTTCACAGTTGAGATCAGAATTTCCATATGATTTTGCAGCCTGAGTTTTCCATTAAAAAGTACGAGCTTTCCCCATATCATTAGCCTTCCTAAACCCAGTTCGTAAGTTTGTAAAAATTGTATCTCCAACTTGAATCATCTCATGGGTCATTCATCACATGTAATCGAGTCAGCCCATCCAGGGGACCCAAAGCACTGACAGGCATCGAAAACTTTAGGCTGAAGTCTTTGATGAGCTAACTAAGGTCTCCCAAGAACCTGACAGGTGCGGCGGGGGCTCCTCCAAGGGTAGCTGTGTTCACGGACACCAACCGGTCTGCAGAGCCTCTTGACTGCGCAGCGCACAAGTTGCCAGGCGCACTTGGAGCGCGGAGAATCCTGAACTTTCCGCCAGGTTTAACACGCGCCTACGCCGTACGTTGAGGGAGATGCCCGCGCGCACCCTGCAGCTCCACCGCGCCTAGGGTCCGTGCCTCCCTGGGGCACCGCGCGGGAGCAGAGCTGGCTCGCTGCGGCCCCCGGCGTCCTGCGCCCCCGCCGCTGGAGCGTCCGTCAGCAGGGCGTCGCGCCCAGTCCCTAGCGGCTCCCGGGGCTGAACTTGGGAGGAGCGCGCCCCAGGTTCCGGCCCTGCCCCGACCGCCTCATCCTAGCCCCCCCACCTCCCCAAACCGGGAGCGCGCAGGCGCAGCGGCCGGGGAAGTCCGGCCACCCGTCCGGGAGGCTGCGGTGGCGCCGGAGCCGCTGCAGCCGCTGCCGGCGCTCGCCATGGGCCCGGGTCCCCAGCTGCTGCTACCTCTCGCGCTTTGCGTGGGGCTCGGCGCGCTCGTGACTTCTGCGGGGGCCTCGGGCGTGAGCAGGCGAGGCCCCACCGTGACGGCCAAGGTAACTGATGGGCGGGCAGCAAACTGCCCTCGCACGGTCCAGGGGGACGGGGGAGCTTTGGGGACGGGGTCCTCGGTGTCCGCGGCGGCGAGGAGGAGACTTCCCGGGCGCCGAGGACGCGAGGCGGCCGCGGGGCTCAGTGCGAGGGCTCGGGGACCGCGCTGTCCGGGGCGACTTGGGGGCGCTAGGCCCAGCAGTTTGAACTTAGTCTCCGGGGCGGCGGTCCGACGTGACCTGCCCTGGGAGCTGCGGGAAGCTTCCGGAACCACTGGGCTCTTTCTCCAGGAAGGAGGCGGCCCGAGTACTTCCTTTAGCGTGGCGAGGACTCTGGAATAGAAGCAGGAAGAATGCAGGCGCTGGGGGGGCAGGGGTGGCGAGGAGACTAGCTCTGAGCCACGGGGGTGCAGTGGGAGGCGGCCACCGCTGTCACCCAGCCTGGAGGAGCCCGCTGGGGTGGGGGGCGTCCGGGACAATTAGGAGCCTTGCTGTAGCGAGAGGGTGGTCCCCCCCCACCCCGCTTGGGGCGGGGGGTGGGGGTGAGGTGCGCCTTTAGCCTTTGACTGTTTCACACTTTGCACCCTGAGCTTGGGAAGCTGCTAGCACCCACAGCCTTTTAATCTCTATAGGGGATTGGGCTGGGTGTGTGTGGGGGGATTGATGGGGGCGGGGATCTGCCTTGGACTGTCTCTCCAAGCACCACCGTGCTTTTTTCAGCATATTTATCCAGGCTAGAAGATAATGGAGGGTGTGGGGAGAGACAGAGAAGGGAGGGAGGGAGGGAAGGGAATGATTTGGTGCCCTTGATCACTACTTCTAGAAAAAACCACTGGCAGCAGCAGTGTCTTGGAATCTGGGAGGAGGGGCAGCTCCAAGTTGTTTTAATAGTAAGTCAGGTGTTTGCCAATGGGAATGATACTGTTGAACAAGTAGTAGACTGCTTAAGTCCTCTCCCACAGATCCCACCTGGGGTGGGGGTAGGGGAGAATGAGGGACCTGGGGAGAGGGAGGTCACCCAAACATCTGATGTAGCCTAAGAATGAACATTAAGGCCATACCATGCTGCAGTCTCTGTGTGCGTGAAAGGGGGAAACTTAGCCCCACTGTTGTGAGCACTGATTCTCAGCCCTGCCCCTTGATATTTGAGGCGTAGCTATTTTTGAGAAATGGCTTGTCCAAGGCCATAGAGCTGAAAGGGTGGGGGAGAGGGAGTCTTTCAGTCTGCAGATACAATTTGGGTCTTTCGGGATAACAACCGTAAAGGTAACGTTCATAAAATGAGGAAGAAAATATAGGAGTCCCCTCCTCTCTGCAGGGGCCAAGTTCTAAGACCCCCCAGTGGATACTGAAACCCACACACTGTTTTGTCCTATACATAACATATATTAAACATACATATATATTAAACAAGGGAACGTTTAATATATAAATTAGGCACAGAAAGAGATTAACAATCATAACTGATAATAAAATAGGACAGTTATAACAATATACCGTAAGAAGTTACGCAAATGCTGTCTTTCTCGAAATATCTTAAAGGCACTCACCTTTCCTCTTGTGATGCTGGGAGATGATAAAGTGTCTACCTGATGAGATGAAGTAAGGTGACCTGACCGGAATAAGTGAACCTTGGGGAAAATGGAAACCTCGAGTAAGGGGGCGGGGACTATTGTAAACCCTTTAATAGACCTGGTGATACTAAAAAATACCTGGAGGATAAGAAAAATCAGCCTGTAAGCACTTGGGAGGCAAAGGGAGTTGTGTGTGCAAGGGCCCCATGCCAGGAAAGCCATCAGAGTTCAGAGGACAGAGAGAGGGGACAGGCTCCCACCCAGGGGTGAGGGGTATGTCTTGAGACAAGGCGGAAAGGGCCAGCAGCAGCAAAATCGTGTAGGGTCTTGGAGTCCACAGTTAGGAGCGGGTTTTGAGGCAGTTTAATATTCTTCTTTTTTTTTCTTTTTAAAGATTTTATTTATCTGACAGCGATCACAGGTAGGCAGAGAGGCAGGCAGAGAGAGGAAGGGAAACAGGCTCCCTGCCAAGCAGAGAGCCCTACCTGGGGCTCGATCCCACGACCCTGGGATCATGATCCCAGCCAAAAGCAGAGGCTTTAACCCACTGAGCCACCCAGGCACCCCCAGTTTAATCTTCTAATTTGAGGTCTTAGTCTAAGTGCAGTTAGCCTCCGGGGTTTTAAGCACGGGATTGACATCATCTCATATATACTTTTAAACAGAGACTGTGGTCGCTCCACGGACAGTGAAGTGGGAGGTCATTCAGGCTCCATGTCAGAGTCCAGATGGCCATGGCGTGGATTTGGGTGCTAACTGTGGAAATGGGGAGCAAAGGGGAGGGATGTGAAATAGATGTTTTGAAATGCAACTAATAGGACTTGCTGATGGTTTAGATGGGGGTAGGGAAAACGAAGTAGAATTGCCGGATAAAATATAAGGTTCCCAGGGAGGTGTGAATTTCAGATAAACATGAATCATTTCTTACCATGAGTCTGTCATCTGCGGGGTTTGGGAACAGACTTCACCAGGGAAGCTTTTAAACCTACCCAGTGCAGAGACCCAGCCTAGATCAAGTCAGTCACGATCTGTGAGTCACCCAGGGTGGGAATGTCTAGGACGGGTGCCAAGAGGAAGCTGGTGGCTGCTGGAGTGGAGGTTGGAGCATCTCTGCCCCTCGGCTAGGGTGCTGTCATTCAGTAAATTTTCCTGTACTCTGCTCTCAGAATTAGTAATGTATCTCCGTTCCCTTCCTACCAAATTTATCATGAAGTTTTTTTTTTTTTTAAGATTTTCATTTATTTATTTGACAGAGCACAAACAGGGATATAGGCAGAGGGAGAAGCAAACTCTCCGCTGACCAGGGAGCCAGGTGCTGGGCTCGATCTGAGGACCCCAAGATCATGACCTGAGCTGAAGGCAGATGCTTAACCAACTGAGCCACCCGGTGCCCCTATCATGAAGTTCTAAAAGCTAATTGTGTAGGCGAGTCTTCTACAGATTTGGCCCTGTCAAAGTGACTTTTTCAGTGGACTTTTTAAAACAACTCAGTATATGGGAAAAGAGAGACCTTAAAAATTATTTCCCCGAGGAATGCCTGGGTGGCTCAGTTGGTTAAACGTCTGCCTTCGGCTCAGATCAGGATCCCAGGACCCTGGGATCGAGCCCTACATTGGGCTCCCTGCTCAGCAAGGAGGCCTGGTTCTCCCTCTGCCTCTGCCTGCCACTCCCTTTGCTTGTGCTTCCTCTCTTTCTGTCAAATAAATAAATAATTTTTTTTTTAATTTAAAAAATTATTTCCCTGTGTTCGGAAAAGTAGATAAACTGGCCATCGCTCTAGTGTTTCCCCCAACAGTCTCCTTTGTTTTTCCCTCTGACTTCATTTAAAAACTAGGAATCTGGAATAAGAGAGGGGCGAGGCACTGCCCCCCTTCAGTGGCACTCACCAGCACCCCCTCCGCTGCCCGCCCAGCCCTGGAGCCTCTGGTCCACGCTCTGGCTGGTCTCAAAGTCCCTGGAACAGGCATCTGCCACCCTGTACTTCTGAGCAGACGCCCGAGGTTCTGCGCAAGGTCAGGCACCTAGATGAGAGAGAATAATGCTGCTGTCTTTCCAGCTGCACTCATGCCTGGCCCAACTTGCTGGCACTTTCCTAGAGCATGGCCTGGTGCCCTGGGGGCAGGTGATTTAATGTGTGAAGCTCCATTTCCTTCTCTGTTAGTGGAAACATAGATAATATCTACCTACTGGGGGGTTTGTGTGTTTGTTTTGCATATTAGATGTGATAAAGCAGGTAAAGTGCTTAGCTGAGATTTCTGAGGTCCATTGTTAGTGTTATTTATGTGACCTTATTAATGCAGCCCTGAAACCGGTGAGGAACAGAAGCTCAGAGCTGAATTAAGTTGCCCAAGGACCCATGGCCAGTTAGCAGTGGAGCGGGGTGGTTGGCTCTTGTCCTTGGCGTCTACCCTAGTTGCTCTGGAAGTGGAAGCAGGATTAACCCTTCAGGGGTTAGGATCAGGCTCTGTGAGTCCCTCTTTCCTATTCCCTCTTTTCTCTACCTCCAGTGGCCCATCATTTTCAAAGGACTTTCAAAGGCAGCCCGCAGGGGGGGAAACAGAAACGACTTGAGCTTGCTCCTGAAGTACAGTGTGGAATCCAGTTACCACCTCTGCCAGGAAGCCCACCCTGATCTCCACAGATAATTATCACCTCTACCCATGACATTTCATCAGTACTTATCTTGTTATAAAACCAGATTGTCCATTATATTACAGCTACTTACATAAGTGTTTTCTGTGGGACCATAACGTCCATGTGGCCAGGGGCTTTGCAGCCTCACCCCATGTCCAAAAAGGGCCTGTCCCCTAGGGCACGCAAGCAGTGAGAGATGATCTCAGGGTGACATGGTGTAGAGGGAGAGTGTTTGCCTGTCAGCCACCTTGGGTCCCCTGCACCCTCTACTTAGGTAGTTTGCCCTGCTTCTCACGTCCCCTCTCACGGGGCATTGAAGTACTCACCATTTTTTGAGTACCTGTTTGAACGATGCTGTGCCAGACACCTGGGATCTAAAAACACCATTTCTACCCCTTAGAGGGTTCCCTGCCTGGACTGTGAGCGCCATATTCAGGATAAATGACAGGACTGCACGGCTGGCTTTGACTCTCCCAGCTTAGGCAAAGCTCCCTGAGACCCCATGGACTAGGTCCTGTTCCTTTCCTTCCCTCCCTCCTCCTCCTCCTCCAGTTTCTTCTCCTTTATCCCAGTGCCTCTCCCCTGTCCTTAAATCCCCTCAGCCACCACCCCACCACAGGCCCTAGGACTTCCTCCTTGAACTGGTCTCAGGGCTCCCAGATTCTTCTTCCCTCAACACGAGTAATATTCCCCAAGTCTTCCAGGGCCCTGTTCTTTCCCCTCTCTCTGCTGCCCAGCAAAAAACCCAGGTCTCCTAGCCAGCAGCCTTCTTCCACCTTCTGGAACTGGTCAGAGTCTCCCTTCCCTGTCAACTGCAGTCAGAAGGGTAGCGTTACTTCCCTGCACAAAGAGCCCATTTCCTGCCCTGGTGTTTTGTCTCTAGAAGGAACTCTGCCCCATGGGGCTCAGGCCTATTCTTGTCCCTGGAGGCTGCTCCCCTCCCTCCAGGCCTGCCTTCCATCACACCCTCTCCAGGACGCCTTCCCTCAGCCCTCAGCATCCCTCTGGGCCCGGGAGCCAGCATTCTTGTGTACTTGGTGACAGAGAAGATGTGATTTTATCATTTCCACTGGACTCGGGAAAACCCTGCCGTATTTTCCTTGCTGCCAGTCACAAAGTGGAAGGACCCTGCAGTTTGGAGAAAAATCTTATTAGTAAGTGTGCAAGGCTGCACGTCAGAACAGGCAGATTTTTATTGAAGAGTTTTGCTGGGTGACAGGCCCTTTTCCTTCACCTTCTCCGGCTTGCTCTTTCACGTTTTATGCTCCTTGCTGTCCAGACACCCACAGGCTTTATTTTCTCTTCTGTATGTTAGAAGTCTGGCAGGCCTTTCTAGGTAGGGTCTTGTATGGCGTTCCTTTAAGACGAGGTCCCTAATTCTTCTCCCGGGGCTGCCTTGTCATTGTCTGTGCCTGAGTTTACTCCTGGGCTTGGAAATCGCTTTGGAGAAGGTGCTTCTCTTTGATACCAGCCCTGGTGACCCCAGTCCTGGCGTGTCAGGGCTGAGGCCTGTCCCGGAGCCATGTCCAACTGTCGTCCTCAAGTGCACAGGCTCATCTCAAGGGCATGGTCTTTGTTACAGTCTATAAAGTCCTCCTGTATAAATAATAATACAGTTGCGGCTGCCGTGGCCACGGGAAAATTCTAAAATGCCACACGGAGCACTAAATATCACACCAGCCCGTGACAGACGTGCTGACGTATTGGCAGGAGCCCTTGTCTTGCACCAAAGCTTGACAGTCTTTACTTCACGATTTTTCTAAACTGTGAGACATCTTTTTTCTTTGACAACCCTTCTTATATTTTTTAGAGCCATCTCTCGAAGGTCTTTTTTTTTTAACGCATTCGAACAGTAAATTGCTTCATATAATCTAAACCCGCTAATAGAATGCCCTTCGACTCCGTAGCCTTTTCAAGCATCCCGTTGGCGTCATCCTAACACGGTGATTTGTGAAGCACAATGGGTATCATTTCATTTGGATGGAACAGGTTTTCAAAATTTGTTTCAGGGAAGGGAACCGGTGGGGTTCACATGCGTGCAACGTGACTCATGCTCCCTTCTGGGGATGTGCTTTCTTTCATCTGTCCTGACATGTTGTGCCACAAGGAAAACCCAGCATCCCCGTGGGATTTTGGGGGCATGAGGACTAAGCTGGGTGTCCCGAGTGTGCAGGGCCGATGGCCCTGTTGGGGCTCGGGACAAGGCTGGGGACCTGGAGCCTGACAGAGTCGGAAGTGAGTGGCCGGCCTTTCCGAGGACTGGCCGTGCGTTTTGATGTCTTGCAGTTCCCTTGACGGCAGGTGTCTGCTGAGCACTCCGTGGGAATCGGGCACTGGTCGAAGTTACAAAAAAATAAATCTGGATGGTTAGGCAATTTCTCTTCTTACCTGTTGTTCTCTCCTGCCAAGATCAAGAGCATCACCCATCAGAAAAGCGCAAGGCTGGGAAAGGGGAGGGGACCGCAGGGCTGCCGGGACCGTGGGGTTCTCAGAGACCTCACCAGTGGACTCGGGACAGTGCTGAGTCAGTCTTCAAACCCAGGACCTTGTGCGGTGCTTGGCCCAGAGTGGTGCTCATGAAATGTTGGTGGGATGAACGTGGTTTTTTTTTTTTTTTTTTTCTTTTTTTTGCAGGTGGAATGCAGCCACACTGGTGATTGGAGATGAATCTAGAGCTTCTTTGTCCGCTGCTGGGGGGGAAAGGGCTTTCGCGTGGGGACGCATTCTCAGACCGTACCTTTCTCTTCCCGTCGTAACCCTCTGCTCCGCTGTTCCCTCACACGCAGGTCTTCTTCGATGTGAGGATCGGAGACAAAGATGTTGGCAGAATCGTGATTGGCCTCTTCGGAAAGGTTGTGCCCAAGACTGTGGAAAATTTTGTCGCGCTCGCAACAGGGGAGGTCAGTCTCAGTCTGGGTTCCCTTAAATGCGCCCAGGAGGGGGTCTTCCTTCTTTTAAGCCCAGCATAAAGGTGTCTGCTGGGAAAATGAGCGTGGATTGAGCAGGTCCGATGAACCCGAGACATTCTCACAATATTTTACTTTATTTTCCTACAAAATCTTACTCTCCTGGTGCTCAGTGTCCTCGGGGTCCTAGAAATCGAGGGGAAGCAGTTACCACGTGAGAATACAGATGGGCAGTCTTTTGACTTATTCACATTAATACCCTACTTCCACAGTTGATTTATTTCTTTGTTTTGGGTCCATCGATGTGTTTCTACCAGAGCATCATCCCAGGGACCTAATTCTATAGAGAGTTTGTGTCATTTTCTCATCGGGTCACATCCCGATAAACAGTGGGGTTCCGTGCTCACTACAGCCGCACATATCCAAAAAACGGTAGGGTTCACCCTGCAGTATGGGTTCTATCTACTTGTATATTCAACTGACGTAATCTCTTTAGAAAGGATACGGCTATAAAGGAAGCAAATTTCATCGCGTCATCAAAGATTTCATGATTCAAGGAGGAGACTTCACGAGTGGGGACGGCACCGGCGGTAATCATGTCTTTTGTATTTCTCCCTTTCTCTTTACCACACTGAAACCCAAGATCAAGTCTGTGCATTCACCCCCCCTGAACTGAATTCCCAGACGTAAGAAATGAACTACTTACGACCACCAAACAAATGCTTCAGAAGGACAGGGTGTGGCAGGGGGCCCTCAGCTCCTCAAATCTAGTCACAGGTACAAACGAGTGAGGCCCCCCTCACGGGAAACAGTAGTGCTCTGGCTCGTTATCTTTCCATAGTGGAGATACATTCATCTAGGAGATGGCTCTGCAGTTACTAACATGCTAGACTCCCAGTAGGCAGTGGTCGAGAAAGAGGCCCACAGGGGAAGGAAAGGTCAAATGGGAAAGCGTGCACACACTGGTGTGGGGGAGGGGAGCAGCTGGCCCCAGACATGGATGTGGTGCAGGAGGGCTGGGGGCAGCACGCCTGAAGGGAGAGACAGGGGTTGAGGTGGCGGGATTGCAGGGGGATTTGCCCCCCCCCCTTTTTTTTTTTTTTCCAAATTCTTTCACTTTGTTATTGGCTTTTCCAGTAATAATAAGTAATCAACGAATTGTCTATATTACATTTTTTTTTAAGATTTTATTTATTTGACAGAGAGGTCACAAGTAGGCAGAGAGGCAGACACAGAGAGAGGGGGAAACAGGCTCCCCACTGAGCAGAAAGCCCAATGCGGGGCTCGATCCCAGGACCCTGAGATCATGACCTGAGCCAGAGGCAGAGGCTTAACCCACTGAGCTACCCAGGTGCCCCGTATTATATGTTTTAATAAGCCAAGGTAGAGTGCTGTGAAGCACAAATAATTAAATTTATGGACTGTCACATACACCTGAGCTGATTGTTCCTTCCTGGGGACTGCACATACCCATGCTCTCTGGGCTCAGAACTGTCATGAGTCCTTTTCCTGAACACACATAATAGAGCTAGCTACATTAGAATGTAAATTTACTTCAGGTTTAAGATTTTTAATTCAGCAAATATGTGTTCTGATAGGTATGAAATGGCTAACTTTTTGGAGAAACCCTTAGGCCCACTTTCATGCACTACTGCTAATTTTATGTTGATTACAATGATTTCTTTATAAGAAAATGGCTACCATTAAATCCTTGGATTTGCCAGGGTCTTCGGTAGCCATACTTTTAGTCCTTACAAAAATGCTGCAGGGTTCAGGGATGGAGATGGAGCAGAGAAACATGTTCAGGTTCCTTGGGTCAGTGGGGTGGTGGGGGGGATGCACAGGAGAGCAGCCCTCCCTCCCTGGCTGGTGCAGAGCTGGGTCTCCCTGTAAGAGTGTGCAGCTCCCTGTAGCAATGCCCTTGACATTGGTGACCCACTCTCCCATCCTGGCGCCCAGCAGGAACAGCAGCTGAGCTTTACTGTGTCCTCTTTCCTGACTCGTCTCTCTCTCTTTGCCTTCCCTGCTATGGGTGTGCGTGCGCACGCACGCGCCCGTGTGGAAGTGTGCGGACATTGGTCTTGAGTCGAAATTCTCTTGGGTTTTGGAGGAAGGACCTTTTGGATCACTTACATTTGGCCTAGACCTCTCCATGAGCAGAGCTTTCCTTCTAGGCCACTGACCAATCAGCTCTAAAGTGCCTGCCTTGGATAGCCACTCCTGGTCCATGCAGCCGAACCAGGATCTTGAGGTTGGCAGCTGATGGATGTAGAGCCCTGCAGAAAGGGAGGAGGTGGGCATGACATGCATTCAAGGTGTTGGGAGGATAGAGCGGACACTTCTCATGGTCTGTACTCTTCTCTTAGGGGAGAAACGGGTTCTGCCCTCCTTGCTGCTGGGCTGGAGCTCAGTCCCCATGGCTGCTTCCAGCTCTTCCACTCAAGGTCAGATCACTGGGTGCTCCCGTTGCCACCCCTTCCGTAGCCTGGTGAGCCTGGAAGGCGTTGTGCCTCATTATGTGCAGGCTGGCTGCCGTTGCTCCAGCACGGGGGCAGGCAAGAGCCACTGCTGGAGGGTCAGGAAGTTACGTGAGCGCCGGGTTCTGCTAGGCAATTTTCAAGCTCTGTAACCTCTGTTTCTTCCTTTCAAGTGGGATTGAGAAGACCTGTTCTGTAGGGTCATGAGGATTAGCAGAGGGTGTATATTAAGTGCTGATTGTGCCAGGGTTGGGTGCTGAAGCCAGAGTGACCACGTGAAGCTCAGGACAGACATGGTGCCAGTAAGATGGCCCAGCTTTCCACATGGCGTAACAGTGTCATCCTGCCCTTCCTTCTCATTTCAGAGAGAAATCGTTGACTTGCTTGTTTGGGGTCTTACTTTGAGGTCAGAGGATGGTGCCGTCTTTAAGGTTTTTGTGTGTTTATCTGAGTCTCTGGTGCCCTGATTCCCAAAGGAGTGAATTCTACCACTTCCTTTATTTCTCCATATGCTTGACCATCTTTTTCCCATCCCCATGTCCCCAGTTCTATTAAAACCTTATGGTTCCCTTTGAAGAATTTGCTTTCATATAACATCTGGTGATTCTCCTCCTTTTTTTTTTTTTTAATTTTGTCTCACCCAGGTATAAGCATTTATGGTGAGACATTTCCAGATGAGAACTTCAAGCTGAAGCATTATGGCATTGGGTGGGTGAGCATGGCCAATGCTGGGCCTGATACCAACGGCTCTCAGTTCTTCATCACCTTGACCAAGCCCACCTGGCTGGATGGCAAACATGTGGTATTTGGAAAAGTCATTGATGGAATGGTAATGTGATATGTTATTATGCCCCATTCAGAGCTTTATATTTACAGCGAGAGTACTTTCAGTGATTTATTTTAATCTTAAAATGTGCTTGTTAGAGATCCATCAATCCATGCTGACTTGCCTCTTTAAAGGTGAATTGCATGTGGTATTTTAATTGTGAGGAGTACCAGGGCAGAAGATGGAGCCTTGACGTGGAAAAATTAAGGGCTTCATTTATCTTGCTAATTGATATAAATGGAAACTCTTTTTTAACATAACCAAGTAAAACCCGGGTCCCATATGTGCATATATTAGGTTTTATACCACCTTAAAAAGGAAGGAAATCCCATCACATGGTACAACATGGATGAACCTTAAATATGTTGAGTAAAATAAGCCAGTCACAAAAGACCATACGATTCCACTTTTAAGAAGACCATCAGAAAAAAAAAAAAAAAAAAGACCATCTGACTAACACTTTAAGGTAGTCAGATACATGTAAAATGAAGTAGAATGGTGGTTGCCAGGGGCCGGCAGGGAGGAAGAAATGGGGAGTGTTCAGTGGGTACACAGCTGAACTTCGGCAAGAGAAAAAAAGTTCTGCAGAAGAGTTGCACGGTAATGGGAATATACTTAAGACTATGGCACCGTACACTTCGAAATAGATAAGGTGGTGCATTTTATGTTAGGGTTTTTTTACCACGGTTGAAAATAAAATATTTTTAAAAATCCCTTGAACACCACATGGTTCTGTGTAGAAACAAGTCCCTTCCAAAGACACAGTCAGTAGAACAATGAGAGTTACTAGAGGGAATTCAGATTCCGGCAGGTTATGTCTCAAAGAGTATCTCGGGTCCAGTTCATAACCAGAGAAACACTTCTTAAGAATCCTCATTCTCCTCCACTCCCAACATTTTTCCTCCTTAGCAGCTGCCCACAGAAGCTCTCCCAGATCCTAAAATAGAAGGTGGAAGGTCTGCCCAACCCAACCCTGGACCACTCCTGACCACCCCCCATCCTCTTCCGTATTTGATTTGGTTTCATTTTCTTTTGTTTTCCTTTCTTTTTTTGAAAAGTGGTTTTATTTATTTATTTGAGGGAGAGAGAGGCAGAGAGAAACAGAGAATGAATGAGCATGAGCAGAGGGAGAGGGAGAAGCAGGCTTCCTGCTGAGCAAGGAGCCTAAGGTGGGGCTCAATCCCAGGACCCTGAGATCACAACCTGAGCTGAAGGCAGACGGTTAACCAACTGAGTCACCCAGGTGCCCCGATTTTGTATCATTTTCACGTGAGCTGTTCTGTCTGTTCCATCCAAATGCAAGTGAACCAAGCTCACTTGTGAGAATTCTTCCACAGCTTCTACCCCCATCCTGATTCTACCCATCGAAAAGCCAGGAACCGAGCTGACCCATTCAGAACCTCTCTCACAAGGCAAGGAAGTGTTCAGCCTGAGCCGCCAAAGATAGGGTTCTCATTGGCAAGTGGGACTAGAGAGAAAGAGAGCAGACACATATCACTTCATAGGCCACTTCCCGTCCTAACACAATAAAGGACAGACCTATATTCTCACGAGCCATAACTTCCTTTGAGGCATCTATTTATTTATTTTTTTTAAAGATTTCATTTATGTATTTGACAGAGAGAAAGCACACAAGTAGGGGAGCAGCAGGCAGAGGGAGACAGAGAAACAGACTCCTCGCTGAGCAGGGAGCCTGACGTGGGGCTCAATCCCAAGACCCTGGGATCATGACCTGAGTGGAAGGTAGACGGTTAACAGACTGAGCCACCCAGGAGCCCCTCAAGGCATCTATTCTCACACAGTAATGAATGCCAGCCCCCCTCAAGTCTCACACAGAATGATGCCCTTGAAGTGAGCTAAACGTCCATATGCCTGTGCTCCACCAGTTCGTTTTTTTTTTAAGATTTTATTTATTTATTTGACAGACAGAGATCACAAGTAGGCAGAGAGGCAGGCACAGAGAGAGAAGAAAGCAGGCTCCCTGCTGAGCAGAGAGCCCGATGTGGGGGGCTTGATCTCAGGACCCTGGGACCACGACCTGAGCCCAAGGCAGAGGCCTTAACCCACTGAGCCACCTAGGCGCCCCCAGTTTGCGTTTTTGACCGGTGGGCCTAACCAGGTTTTAAAAAATTTTAAATGTAATGAAGTTCAAACATTCATGCATATATTTGCATATATGCATATATGTGAATATAGCATGCTAACGTGTAAGAGAAATGAAGAGTGCAAGTGTTATGTTGTCTTCCAGTCATGGTTTTTCTTCTCACTCTCTAGATCCTCTGTCTTAACGCCCTACCCGACTGTACCAACTTCCTTCCACCCGTTGGGGTGCATCCTGGGAGACCCGCTGCCTGGTCTTAGAGGAACAGTCCTTAACATGTTATGAGTCCTAGACTTCTTTAAGATAGTAATGAAAACTATAGGTTTTCTCTCCAGGCAGAAAAAAAAATTCTGTGTGTGTATGTGTGTGTTTTATACCCTTCCAAGGAATCTTCAGAATCTCCTGAATTCTAACCCAGAGATCATCTGGCTTGCTTTGTGAACGCTACACTTTTCTTGAGCTCCCCTCAGACTCACAGAATCACAGTGTCCACAGGTGACCCCACAAATAAGCATTTTTAAAAACTGTGGGAAAATATACATAGAAATTTCCATTTTAACTCTAAATGAGCATTTTTTAAAATGTTCCACAAGTCATCAGATGGGAAGTCAGTGCTTGAGGCAGACATGTGTACACATGTTTGCATAGACACAGTGTTTAGAAATATATATAATTATCATTAGAAGAATGCTGGTCTTTTATCTTAAGTTAACCTAAATTGGCCAGCAACTGGGTTAGGTGGCACCGTGTCCATGGCAGTGAGTTGCTTTGTTGCTATTTTTGTCTCAGCCCCATTTGGGAAGCTGGTCAGAAGCCACCATCCCTAGTCCTGGACCAGTCCTCCCTCCTTCCGTGTGAAGCTCAAGGTGGTTTCCTCAGATGTGTAGTCTTCCAGGGTAGAGAACGGGTCTTAATATCACTGTGGGGTTGGGATCTCTCACTCCACTTGTTGGGCGTGGGTCAACTTTAAAATGGGCAAACCCAGGGATGCCTGGGTGGCTCAGTGCCTACTTGTGATCTTTGTCTGTCAAATAAATAAATAAAATCTTAAAAAAAGTAAGTAAAATAAAATGGGCAAATGCAGAACTAGGTCCACTTCTAAATCTGCCTTCTGACCCAGTTTCTTATGCCCACACCATTTACAGGGTATTGTTGAAACTGACTCATATTCCATGTTGACTGTTACACTGGGGTAGAAAGTGGGTAGAAATACATTTGATTAGAGCTCTGTGTTTATGAAAATATTATTTTTAGAATATAAAATGCTAATTTTTTAAAAAGATTTTATTTATCTGACAGAAATCATAAGTAGGCGGAGAGGCAGGCAGAGAGAGAGAGGAGGTAGCAGGCTCCCCACTGAGCAGAGTGTCCGATGCGGGGCTTGATCCCAGGACCCTGGGATCATGACCTGAACTGAAGGCAGAGGCTTTAACCCACTGAGTCACCCAGGTGCCCCAGAATATAAAATGCTAATTAAAAGAAGTGAGAAAATACGCAAGTATGTTCTTTCAGTAGCCAGGTAGTGGGCAAATTTTGTTCTGTTATATATACATTTCCTGAATATTTTAAGTTTTCCATAGTTGGCTTGCATGATTTTTGTACCATACCAACAACAACAACATCCACAAACCCGGTTTTCTACCTGGGCTTTCAGACTAGGCACTGATTTCACCTGCGATCACCATAGTTGCTGGCGAGATGTGAACCCAGAATCTGCTTTTCTCTCACCAGACGGTGGTCCACTCCATAGAACTTCAGGCAACTGATGAGCATGACCGTCCGCTCACTGACTGCTCCATCGTCAACAGCGGCAAGATAGATGTGAAGACCCCCTTTGTGGTTGAGGTCTCTGACTGGTGATACAACGGGAGGAAAACAAGAAACACACTGTGGCAGGGATGTGTGTTTGTGTGTGTGTGTGTGTGTGTGTGTGTGTGTGCATGCACATGTGTGTCTTTTGAGTTTCCAAAGTTACTGTTTTGCTCTGTTTTCTTACCTCTGTGTTTCACTCTCAATCACAGGAAAGTTCAAAACATCAACCACTCCGTGATTAGTTTGCATGAATTTTGGTAAATCACTTGTTTAGGGACTTGGCACTTCAAAGACCTCGCCCCTTCCTCCCACGGTGCTGTTTTTAAACTAGAAAACTTTGTATTGTCTGTTTTTGTTTGGAGAACACAGTCATTATCTTGCTGAATTAATTGTAATCCCCAAGTTGAGTGAGGACGCTGAAGATTCATCTGAAGAAGGTGGGGACAGTGACGTTTGTATTTTGTACTCAAACAAATTCTTTGCAGGTAAAGGGAGATTTGATGAGTGTAATCTGTAATCTGAGATATGTCATAGGGACTTTTACCTGATAAAAGGTGCTTTTGTGTCCTATTAAATGCTTTTTATATAAGTCAACTCTCTTTTTGCAAGTCTTTTTTTTTTTTTACTTAAAGTTCTTAAAAAAATTGATGACAAAAATATATGTACTGTAATGCTAGCAATGAACAGATTAGAGAGGGTTCTGTAAATCAGAATGCTAACATAACTGGATAATTTGGGATAGGAAGGCACAGAAATGATGCCTAACCGTATCCCAAATACCTGAGCAGATTAATTTGCTAATTTTTACTCACTGTAACATTTATATCAAGTTCCCTTGAGTCGAGTTGCAACAAAAGGGCATCTTTTTTTTTTTTTTTTTTTACACAAGGAGCATGAAGATTTGGACCGTACTTCAACTAGATGGGAAAGTGGAACCCAACTGGGGCCTTGCTATAACATACCTGGCCGGAATGGAGTGCCTGATCTCTGTTCAGTGGGAGTGATATCTTTCTTTGAAAACAGCCCTGTTGCTTCTCCTCTAGGACCTGTGGAGTGAGTGAGGACCCCCAGAATTCCATCTCATCAATAAAAAAAGAAATAAGAAGTAAATAAAATTTGAGAACTACCTTTTAAAAAAAAATTCTTTCTCCATGGGGTACCTGGGCGGCTCAGTCAGTTGAGTGTCTGCCTTTGGCTCAGATCATGATCCCAGGGCCCTAGCATCAAGCCCCACATGGGGCTCCCCGCTCAGCAGGAAGTCTTTTTCTCCCTTTGCCCCCTCCCCCACTCATGAGTGCACTCTCTCTCACTCACTCTCTCAAATCTTAAAAGGAAAATTCCATCTCTTGAGCTGTATTCTAAGAAAACTGTTTTAGCAGGAGATGAGATGAAATGGGCAGTCTCAGTGAATCACTACAACCTTTTTTTTTTTTTTATATTGTGTTTATTTTTTTGACATAAAGAGATCACAAGTAGGCAGAGAGGCAGGCAGAGAGAGAGAGGGAAGCAGGCTCCCTGCCGAGCAGAGAGCCTGACACGGGACTCGATCCCAGGACCCTGAGATTATGATCCGAGCCGAAGGCAGTGGCTTAAACCACTGAGCCACCCAGGCGCCCCTCACTACAACCTTCTTAGCAATTTTTGTTTCTAACAAAAATTTACTGAAGGCCTTAGATACGCTGGGTACCAGTTTTTAATTTTGGAATCTGGCAGGGGACTGTGAGAAAAAGACCTGAGGGAACCTACATTCTAGATGTGGAGACAGAATAAATAAGGGGACAAAAAGCGTGCCGATGGTGTGAAGAAGGCATGCCCACGTGTGCCGGGGCAGCTGGGAAGGGAATTCTGGGTGAGAGGTCTGGGCAGGTCTCCTGAGGGGCTGAGAGAGTAGAGAGCAGGAGGGCAGCACTGTGGGCCTTCCCGGCAGAGAGGGAAGCTGAAGTCATGAGGGTCCTGAGGTGAGAAGGAGTGGGTTCCAGGGCCTGCTGGTTCCTGAGAGGTCAGAGGGCCCAGGCTGAGATTAGACTGTTCTGGGCCTAGGTGCCAGGTTTGAGTTTTTCCTTGATACACAGTACAGTGGGAACCTATCAGTGTTAAGCTGGGGAAGGGCATGAGTTGGTCCTCATTTAAGAAAGACTGCTTCGGGGGCGCCTGGGTGGCTCAGTGGGTTAAGCCTCTGCGTTCAGCTCAGGTCATGATCTCAGGGTCCTGGGATCGAGCCCCACATCAGGCTCTCTGCTCAGCAGGGAGTCTGCTTCCCTCTCTCTCTCTCTGCCTGCCTCTCTGCCTACTTGTGATCTCTCCCTCTGTCAAATAAATAAATAAAATCTTAAAAAAAAAAAAAAGACTGCTTCTTCTTCCACAAGGAGGATTTTTATAGGGGAGCTAGCATACACATCCAGAAATGCAAAATATTCACATCCTTTGAAGTCCTATTCCTGGGACATTGCTCTGGAAAGTGACGTCAAATTGTCATGGACTTCGCTGTTTGGTCAGTCCAGCATCCAGTCCCCATGGCCTGGGAATGGCCACCCATTTTCTTCAGGCAACCAGAGCATTCCCTCAAGTACTTCTTATTGGTAGGGAAGGCAGACCCTATGGATGGGTACATACATGGCCTGGAAAACTCATTAGCTCACTTGATAATTATATATTGAGTGCTGGGTAGAGCTGCTAACAGGGGCAGCCATTGTGGTCCCCATGAAGGAAGACAAATGATTCAAACATCTACCACATGAATATGTAACAGGATATCATGTAGTAATAGTCTCTGAAGAGAAACAGCAGGGAGAGAGGACAGAGTCAAGAGGTGATCTGGGAAGTCCTGAGTGTAGGCTGAAGGAAGTAAGGGGGCAGTTAGCCACAGGGACATGGAGCGAAGGGTATGTGAGGCTGTGGCCCTGGGTGATGGTCGGGCTGGTGGTTTCAAGAAAGATCAGGGTCCAGGTGTGCAGAGCAAGGGTGGTGGGGAAGTGAGGTGGAAGAGGAATGTCCTGAAGGATGTCCTGGGTCTGGTGACTGGCTCAGGGAAAGGCATTTGACCTGAATCATGGTAGTGAGTCTTAATTGTGGGACTGTCAATGGAAATATCGGGAAAGAATTGCTATCTTGCTTCTCAGAGGCTGTAAAGGAGCAAGCCTGAGAATGAAACCCTCACAAAGGGAAGCTGATCCAGGAAACAGAAAGCTGAATTCCCGAAGACTCCAATGAGCTCCTGAGTCCAGCCATGCCTGAAGCACATCTCTACCCTGAGCTCTTTAGCTCTGCAAGCTAATACATTCCCTTTTTTTTGCTTAAGCCAGGGCAAATTGAATGTTTGTGACTTGGAACTGAAAGTCTTTGTTTAACAGAGCAATACTGAAAAGTTTTATGTACAAAAATGTGAATTGCAGGGACGCCTGGCTGGTTCCACTGGTAAAGCATGTGACTCTTGATCTCGGGATCATGAGTTTGAGCCCCATGTTGGGAGTAGAGTTAACTTAAAAAAAAAAAAAAGATGTGAATTGCAGAATTATTTATGCTAACAAGATACTGAAGCAACTTGAATGTCCCTAAAATGGTTATAAGTCATACATCCCATAATAGACTAACATGCATTCATTAAGACGAATGATATAAAACTTAGAGCAACATGAGAAAATGGCCCTTTTCAAGAAAAAAGTAGGAATTCTGTGTGCAGCATGATCTCAAGTGAGTAAATACATTCTCACAAGGCAAATGCAGCAAAATATAAATTATCATAAAGCAAATCCAAATGGGATTTTTAAGCTCTTAAGTGTATACATAAATACATACATGTACATATATTTTTGCTTGTTTTGGTCTTCCAATTCTCCTCTAAGGTGCATTTCTTATTAATAATTAGAAGAAAAGTATTTAAAAATGTTTTTAAGGTAACATGGGAGGAAATTGGAAACAAAAACGTGTTAGACGCAACAAAGTGCCACAAGTATCAGTGTCAGAAAGCAGACACGTGAGCCGCTGCTCCCCGTGTGCATGGGGACATGGACTTTGGCCATGTAGTTCTTTTTTGTTGTTGTTGTTGTTGTTGTTTTTTAATTAGTACGAGCATAATGCCCTTCCCCCAGTGACAAAGCAAAAAGCGGTTCATCATCAAAGTGTGGAAACTCTGAGAGCACTTCGTGCCAGGGAGTAAAACGGCCAGGCTGTGTGTTCTAGCAGATGGCCAATGACCTCAACGATACACCTCCTGCTCAGAGCTGTTTGTGTCTCAAACATAGAGGGTCACGCCCTAGACCAAAAGTATCCACAAACTCACAACTATCAACTACTGCTCTGCAAAAAGCCTATGCTTTCTACAAAAGTTTTTTAAACCAACAGCTCGCTCTTTGGGCAATCATGCTGTGAGAAGGACACGTAGTGGCAGAGGGCATGTGCAGAAGCGGAGGAAAATTACCCTGGCCACCACCACCACCGTGCCCCTATTATTAAAATTTGGTCCTGAATTGCTTCAATAAGCAATTGAAAATATTTTGGTATCCTGAGCCCTGAGTTGTTTTATTCCAAGTGCTGTTTAGCAATTCTGGGGATCGTCAAACAAGATAAACTTTAGTAACATTTATTCCTGGGACAGACTGATAATACTTGAAAAAGTACTAATTACTTCATTTCTGATGAGTTTTGGGGTTTTGAGCAGAACTCACCAAACTCCTTTTTTGAAAAGTTCAGCCGTTTTGAGTTACATAAAGACAAAAACATGGCAAGGATTTTATAGCAGGAAAAGGATTTGTTTTTGTTTTTCAACATTCCTATAATTCAGACAGCTGAAGAAATCTTTGATCTGGAAGGCTTGGAAATTCAAAGCCCCCCAAGGCATTTTTTTTTTTTAATTAAGAAAGAGTAAAAACAGTATTTGTAATGGAAAATTTTTGTGCTGTTAAATACATAACGGCTTTTACTTAAGTCTGTCCTTCATCTTGTGGACTTGCCATTTCAGCCAAGCATAGGTTTTAGGTGTAATATAACATCACCTGCCTGAAGGTTTGCTGGTGTTACTGATATTCTTGAGTGATGGAAAAGCACTTGGCAGTAACACAGAACAACAGTGACGAGTTACAGGAGTCCT